TCATTTTGCATATGGGATATACATTCCCAAACTCAATCGGTATTCAAGAGCATGCAGCTGCTAGTCAGACTTAACGTAACGTCACCAGTGTCTGAGCAGAAAGTTGATGAACCAGAGTTATGTCAAAGAACGTCTTGTCCTTTTTCTTATAAAGGTTCATTGGAAAATGCCAAGACCTTGCAGTTAAATATTCCGTATCAACTTCACAAATAATGAATGATGGTCTTGAAGTATAGATTCTATGTATTGTCGTTGTTTCTCATCCTAATTACGACTTATAGTGTTCTTTTATTTGTCTTTGTAAATTATAGCCTTTACTGTTTAGTCCCTTTTGGCGGTACTGCGCAAATGCGTTTTTGTGCTGTGGTTATTTTTTGTATTCTTGTCTTTCATTTTGCTATGTGCTTAGTCTGTATGCCATTTGCTTTTCTTTTTTTGACGTATTTGTTTGTTTAATAGTGGTTAAGATTATTAAACAATGTTGACTGCTGTTCACCTATTTTTGATGACATTTTAGACCTTTAATGTCTGTTTGTTTTCTTGACACACTGTTGTCAATATTATGGGATTGTATGTGACTGTCATACAAGTGAAAGGTTCAACCCGCTATAAAAGCAATTCCGAAGTATGATAGTTGTTTTCCATTCGTTTGATGTGTTAAGGCTTTTGATTTTGCCATTTGACAAGGGCCTTTCCGATTTGATTTGTCACTTGAACATGTTGAAGTTCAGTATTTATGTTATGTTACTTTTTTAATCAACTTGAATGAACATGTTGTGTTAACCATATTATCACATATAATCATATCATAAAACAAAATTGACATCACACATTTCATATACCACCCATCACTTCAAATGTTTATTTTACCTCTCAATTTATGTACTGAACTGTTGAAAGTGCTCATTCATCGGATAACGGCATATCATTTACCTATTGCAGTCCTCTTACCGTGAGCAACCTGTTATCTTTATAAATTGCCTGACAATGGTTAAGTTAATAATCAACTTAGTTTTAATGTCTCACCGACAATTCATTGTAAAAAATCAGAGAAATATTTGAATTGTGATATCATTTGTGTTGTGTCGACTATTATATAATTTGTGTGTGCGTTTCTCTATTATGAATGTTCTTGCGTGTGTTTGTGTTGTATTTCTGTCACGTAGTGTTTTAGCGATATTTTTTAACATTGTCATAAGCGGGAGGTTTGGCATGCCATTAAACCAGGTTCATCCCACCATTTTATAGTTGATGTGTTACCTCGGTTTTGGTTTGTAACCCGGATTTGTTTTCTCGCAATCGATTTATGACTTTTGAACACCGGTATACTACTTTATTTATGCGTTTTAATCCACAATTTGTTAAGGTTTGTAACTACTAGTATTATCCTTGTGATACATGCAGATTTGAAAAGGATATAGCAAACGCTGTTTTAAGAACAATATTTACAAAACCCTTAATGTATGTAACGTAACACTTTGCATGCTAGATAAGACCTTCTTTTGTTTCACATATTAAATCTGTTCGTTATATTTTCAGAAAGGACGGTTGAAGTTGAAATGCAGTCTCTGTAAAAAACAAGGTGGCGCTTGCATTCAATGTTGTGTTAAAGGCTGCTGCAAATCCTTCCACAGTAGATGTGGGTTTGAAAAACAATTGCGAATGGAAACTATTCATGAACCAGAATTAAGATTTATGGTAAGATTTAGAATACAATTTTAATACACTGGCATACAGTATTACCTTTTTTTTAAATGAACTTACGTCATCTTTGTAACACCTCGGCAAGTTGATGGCGATGCATTGTTAACCAAATCTAACCGGGGTGTATACCTAACGGTATTTTCAAAACGCTGTCAATACAAGTTCACGAGACAAATGTATCAGACAATTCTTACCTTTTTTTATCTTATTTTGTATTTTCGTTGAATTTTAAAGCAGATCAATGCATCTTATTAAATTTTAACGAATGGGACAAGTAAAAATATTAGATAAATGATGACGTATAAGTAAGATACTTTTTTACAAAAATAAAAAGTTTGGAAAACATAATTCGAAATATGAAAAACATTTCTATTATAAACATGTGGAGCATTTATATTCGAAATTTAATTGTATCAGGCATATTGTGAAGCACACAGCAAACCTAGAGTAGCACAAATAAAAATTGCAAAAGGGCAGAGTAAAAAAGGGCGACCACGCAAAAGACTGATACCAGAGGAAGGTCGCATGATGCGAAGGTATTTGGTTTATCTTTAGTAATGATCAAAAGCATATAAAAAGAAAGCTGTAGCAACCAAAAATATTAAACAGTACAAACGACCACGCCAACAGTTAACGAACCACAAAATAAATGGTATAATTAAAGTCATATGAAACGAGTGACTGGTGAAAACAAAATGTTAATCAAATTCTTGAACAAATGCATGTATATATATCATAAACTTAGTCTTCTGTGCACAATTTATCATTTTTTACCCATCCATATCGTATAATCGTCCAAAACAATATTTAACTCGGTCTATTTTGATGTGAAAATATGACAGCTAATTTATAATTGTCGTGTTTTTGAAGCCGAAGTTTACGGATTGTTCCCTTATTAAACAATCAACAAAGAAGCGTGTATAACATGCACAATATGATAAAGTTAATTTCAATGACGGAGCAATGTGTACTGCGATCATCAGAATTGTACGGGAAAGGTCACGTCGAGTTCACTGCATACGGGGAAAATGTCGGCGAATCATTGTCAGGGAAGCCAATAATTAAAATAAAGTACATTTCTTCTAAATTTGGACAAATTAAAGAATTTTCTTGAGAAAAAAGTTTATATGTAAATAAGCTTTATAATAACAACTAGCCATTTAGTTATAAAACAACATATGAATTTTCATATGACTTTAAATATGTTTAACAACAGAACAACTGTTTTGCGTATCTACCCTTTCATCATTAATCTACTTCAGATGAGAAAAAAACTTCTCTTTTTGGTTAACAACTTATAAGCAATAATGAATTTGATTCATAACTTGATTATTGTAAGACTATAACAAAAAAAAAGATAAATATACTAGTAACACACGTGTATTTTCATTTTCATTTTGTGTTTGTTTAAGGCAAAATATTTTTTATTTTCATTATAATTTTGGGTAGAAGGGAGTATTTTTATTCAGTGTGACACAGTGTGTGTATCTCTTTTCTCTATTTCTTGCAATATTACTTTTTCAGCGAGTCACAAAAGAAGAAAAGGAAATTTGGAGGTACTTTCATTTATCTTTTGTAAATAGATCATACATAAACAGCAGTAGTTGTCCTTTTCTGGATTTAGACATTTCAATTTCTAAAGGGAAACTCCAATCTAAAATTTACGACAAAAGAGACGATTTTTCATTCCCTATTGTTAATTTTCATTTTTTAGACGGCAATGTTCCTTTGGCTCCATCATACGGTGTTTATATATCCCAACTCGTTCGTTATTCCCCGGAGTGTAGTGATGTCATAGATTTTAACGAACGTAATCAATGCATCATTGGTAAATTATTAAGTCAGGGACTTCGTTACCCTAAATTACTTAAAACTTTTACTAAATTATTTCATAGATACAAAGAGTAGAAAATTTGACTGTAACTGTAGAAAACGTATTAAAAACGGTATTCCACATCCTAAATTTTACGGCAATTTTGAACTAAAAGAGCGGAAATCGCTCTTTTTTATATATATATATATATACCAGCTTTGATAAGTGTTTGGTATTACTATAAATTTTCACTTCTGTTCTCCCCCCAAGGGTGACTGGGGAATAGAAGTATGGTCACCATTGGTCTTCCTCCGACCGGCAGTAAAACCCGTGCTAAAGTGGGGCGTCCGTTTGGCTGTGCGGGATGTACAAATTTGCAGCCACGTCCGGTCAGAATGGGGACGTTAAATCCGATGCCTCGTGTAAAGAGAGTGCCACGCTCTTTGCACGTTAAGAACCCTTGCAACAACTCTGTGAGGGGTCCGTAGGTGACCTGTTGCAAGGCTAAATTTCTGTCCCTATCCAATATACCCTCATTTCCCGTGGCAGTCAAAATTTCTCCGACCTTAATCCCTAAATCTATTACAGAACCTAGCTATTGTATTTATTGTGAACTTGTTCTCGTCCTGAATATGCATGAAATATTTGCCACTGGACGTTAAGCAACCAACAATCAATCAATCACTTCTGTTCTCGTACTACGAAAAATATTTCTGTATTTTATTACCGTATACATTACAACAAAACTATTTTCATTTACCTGTGTACATTATTTTATTTGGCGGCATTTTGTCCAAGGTTAATGTTGTTTTTCTCACCCCTTATTTTATTGATTTTGTATTTACATTGTGTCATAGATCAAATGTATTTGTTCAGTTTATGTTCACTTGCTTGTGTTAATATGTCTTTTGATTGAGTTAAGCCATTTAAATTTATATTTTATAGTGTGTCTTTCTATGTTGTGATGTTACACTATCCATTCAAGTAAGGATGCAGGTTGGTACCTATTAAAACGTTTAAACCCGCTGCATTTGTTTGCACTTGTCCTAAGTCAGGAACCTGATGTTCAGTGGTTGTCGTTTGTTGATGTGGTTTATAAGTGTTTCTCGTTTATCGTTTTTGTTTTATATAGATTAGACTGTTGGTTTTCCTGTTTGTAGTAATTTTGGGGCCCTTTATAGCTTGCTGTTCGGTGTGAGACAAGACTCCGTGTTCAAGGCCGTATTATGACTTATAATGGTTTTCTTTTTACAAATTGTGACTTGGATGGATAGGTGTATCATTGGCACTCATACCACATCTTCTTATATCTATCGTTTATCTTAATAAGTCCTTTTCTCGACTAACTGACAGTATCTTTAATGTATAATGATTATAGGTGAAAGTTTAATTGACATTGAAATCAAAATATGCAAAACTTAAAGCAAAATATATTACTAGGCAGAAAGAAAATATCCGAATGTTTTTATATTCTTCTAGTCAAAGAAACCCCAGAAATCACCCTAGAACAGATAACGTCAATGAATGACCAAGGTGATACGTAAGTATCTCGTATCGTAAGTGATGAATTTGTGCAGGACTTTCTTGTAGCAATTAAAGGTACTTTTTTATTACATTTTTGTTTACAAATATTCATATGGGTGTAAAAATAACTAAATTATAATCGAACAGGATCGTTAAACGATTTCGGAGCTTGCGAAGTCACAAATAGAATTGGTTGGATTCGAGATACTTAGTCTTTTTTTTCATGTAGTGTTTTGAAGACTATTCTTATCTTTTTCGTACTATTTTTAACTTTAAGTCATTGTGTTGTCGTTTTATCGTCGACTTTTAAAAGATGTTTGTTACCTTGATATTACATGCCTCGTTTTCATATATAGTAGTATTGACCCGGTTTCTTTTCCTCTATTTTGAAGGTAGTATTAAATGTATCCAACGTTTCGCCTTTTACTTAGTTAACCAATATTTCCAGTCCATCAGTTCTTCAAGTCGCATCAATTAGTTATCGAGCTCTTATGTTCGTTAACTTAATTACATTCTAGACTGGACGGTTGTTGTATAGCATATAGTATAAAGAGCAGTGTTTTGTCCGACTCGACTTAGTTAAAATGATATGTGTAGGTGTCACTGTGGTCATTTTATGATTTATGTCTTTAAACATTGATAAACTATTGTTGCCTGAATGAAGAACATCAAAACTAACATGGACATTGCAAGTACAGCCAACGCAGAAACATTTTATTAAAGTATTAATAGTATTTACACATGTAAACTGATGAAGTTCTGCAAAGCTGTAGAAAATTCATTCAAAACAACCACACTTATAAGAATGCACATATTCATTTATTCATTTACTTTTATTAAATTTGTATTGTAGTTGATTTGAATGTTGTGTTTTTTTTTGTTGTGTTGCGTTTTGTTTTGTTTTGTTTTGTATTTTTTTGGGGCTGGTGCATTTGTCATTATCTCGTCTTATTTCCGAGTTATTCAATACCTGAAGATGAAGAGGAACAATAAAGTGGGTTTTACATTATCCATACAGCAGGTGCCACCTCAAAGGGGATATTTAAAATTTATAAGGACAATGACATGGCAAAAAAAACAAAAAAAGTAATAAGACGAAAAGACATACAAGTTCACAAAACACTCCATAGAAAACTAACGACTGATTATCACAAACCTAACCAAAACATAGTGGGGATCTTATGTGACCAGGGAGGGTAGGCAGATCCTGCATCACTATAGTGTGTAATATCATTTTGTGAGGGAATTCGATGTTTTCTATACCACTGTTCATTTCAACGCACGAAATGACAATACCACTATACCAATCAGAATCAAATTTATTGCAGTCTTTTATGAAATGATTTAACTTTGTATCCACGTATTATTTGTGAAACATTAAATGTTTTAAAAGAGCGAATTTTCTGTATAAAGTAAATAATTATACCGACTTTTGAAGCCCAAACTTTCTATTGCCTTAAATACGCAAATTAAAGATCTGAAAACTATACCAATACAGAACGACATATTTTTGAAATTATAGCATATCTTTTGGTTGACAAATTTTTATTCGTTATTGCAAAAAATGGTCTTTAAATATCGGTCAATTTCTCCCTACCCAGTTTACCCCTATTACTCATAATGTGGACCGCTCGGTGTCATTGAAAATTACGCAATTTGATTGGATGAAGTTATAATTAATTTACCTTCAAACTGGTTATGGTTTTCATACATGTAAATTGATTAAATCAGAACGTGCATGAACGCGTCAGTAACTTAAACGACCTTCAAACTGGACACTGGACGAGTCCATATTATGTTTTATCAATAAAACTAAAGGTATGAAAGGTAAGAATTGCCACTTCTTATATTTTCACAAAATTTTCCACATACGCGGTAGATAAATTATTTTTAATAGCCTATTGCGGAGAAAAAATAGAAAGTTTACAAATAAGACGTATTATTTCATTTAAAATTTCATTTTTCGAAGAGAAATGCCGAAATACATTTTAAGCACGGCTACGCCAGGTAAAATTATTGTTTATCTTAACAAAAAAAAAAACATTTTTCAGTCTCATTGGAATTTTGTAAAACAATAAATCCCAAACTAACGTAGCCAGTAAATAAAGTCAAAATATGTCCGATCTGCCTATTATGGACGTCAAAAGTCAATACGATCGTTTTATGGTCAATTTCGTCTACCTTACAAAATCTTGTTAGGCACTATAGTGGAACTTATCATGTTTCTCGTGGTTAGTATCAATTCGATTAAGAGGCGGTAATATTACAATCAAGGAAGAGAGAATGGGATTAATCACGCTTAATTGTTTTCTTTTTTCTTGTGCATTAAATTCCTAAATTGTTCACGATTATACCCAAAATAATATGTGAAAGCATGGAATGACGAAATATATGTTTACAGAAAACTCTAGGATTCTAGACATACATTACAATGTAAGTATTCATTGTCAAAATCACATAGTAATAAATATGTCTAAAGTGTTTTAACTTTTTTCTAGGTTTATTATTAAATGCAAACTTCTGTAATACGTATAGAAATGTTATATGCTGTCACTTTAATTACTAAACTACTGTATAATCTTGTATCATTTGTACTGTTGTAGCTGTCTACATGTTGCTGCACTTAAAAATGATTTTAAACAGATACGCCATTTACTGGACAGAATATCTAAGGCATCGTTGATTCAGAACTGCATCGATATTCAGAACAATAAAAGGAGGACGCCATTGTTTATATCCGTACTAAACAATGATTCAGACATTGTAGAAATATTTCTTCAGCATGGTGCAAATCCAAATATCTTCGCAGAGGTAAACCTGATTTACTTTCTCTTTTCTTTATTAAGACTATCAGTTGCTCAAAAATTGATATGAATGTTTCCTGGAAATATATATTATCAATGTTTAAATTCAGATAGGTAATGTTAAATGTACTTGAACACAACAATTAGTTATCATCTTGACATTTAAAGACTCGAACATATGATAGAAATCTTACGGGCATAGTGATAGTTATCTGATATTGATGTTCAAGTGAGATGTGTCTGTTTGTTTTTGCACTTGTCTGTGCATTGCCAAAAAGACAAACCAGGAGAATGATCAGTAAATAAAACTTAACTTATATTATTGTTGGTGTTACGAATTTACGGTTTGAGAATAATATAATGTTTCTACAGTTACATGAGTTATGTATTTTCCAATTTTTCTATGAATTTTTCCATTTGATCTTTTTATCGTTGAAAACGGCATAGAAAATCATCCCTTTATCCTTGGTTACTATAAGACGCTTTACCTGTACAGATGTTGCTAGGGTGCTCTTTTCGAGGTCCGCGTTCCTTGTAATAATTATGGGTAGCTTGTCAGAGAAAGTTGTATAGCCAGTCAATGTCGTTAAAAACTCCAATCATCATCGTGAAAGTTGTTATTTGTACCGAAGACAGCAGACAGTTCACATCGGAAAGTAGGGAACGTAAATAGTTTAAAACGAGTAGCAGAAGTAGTTTTAAACAAAGTGTAGTGTATGAAACCTGCTGACAGAATATAGATAGAAGACAGTTGGTTCGCTGGTACAAATTTCCAAACAGGGCTGGTGCTAAGGTTTTGTGTTACACATATCTTACTATTGTAGTGAGTGTTTGCTGATAAACCATGCCTTAGTGGTACCCTATTGTTCGGACAGCTATAGACATATTTTTTGATAAGGTGTCATACGAAAGTTTACATAGTTAAAAATTTGTTTCATACATTAGTTTTGTAATTGGTTCCATACATTTAGGTTTCAGCCCAGTTCCATACATTTAAGTTTCGGCCCAGTTCCATATTTTTAGGTTTCAACCCAGTACCATACATTTAGGTTTCAGCCTATAGCTCCAAACATTTGGTTTTAATAAGTATCAGACTAAAATGGCTTTAAGCAGTTTTAATTTACCAGGTTTGGGTTAGGTTGAAAGGTGTTGAAATTCATTTTATGTAATAATTGTTTTATATTTGGTAGTAAAGCGTAAACTGTTTGACTTTAGAAAGTTTGCATTTGCTCTTCAAATCACAGGAAACTAGTAGAAACCCGAGGATGAAAATATTAAAACGTCCCCGACCAGTTACACGTTACATGATATACATATACATATGCTTATTCACGGTTCTAAAATATGTCGATACTTGTATTTTGACATTGCACAAGGTCATGTTTTTCTCTGACTGTAAGTAATGTCTTTACTTTAAATTTATTGATTTTGGATGTGGGCTAATTGATACTTTAGTCTTAGATGTTTGATTTTGCATTAGTTGTTATGAGCTTTGAACTAGCTGTCATTAACTGTCAGTACTCTCAGATATGTACGTCCGATATATGTTTTTGTTTCTTGTATTTCTGCTTTGTATCAATCTGATGAGTTGAGCCCTTTTTAAATGATTTTTATAGTTTGTTCATAAGTTGTACTGTTACACCACTGTCTCGTGATAGGAGGAGGGTTGGGCACTCGCTAACATGTTTAACCCTGCCACATTCTGTATGTTTCTGTCTCAAGTCAGTGGCCCGTAATTCAGTGGTAGTCGTGTCTTGCTGTGAACCATATTTGTATTTCGTTTGGATTGTTTTACATTTATCATTTCGGGGCTTCCATAGCTGGCTATGCGGTATGGTTTCTGCTCATTGTTGAAGACTGTACGGTGACCTATAGTTGTGAACTTCTTTCTCATTTGGTATCTTGTAGTAAGTTGTCTCTTTGGCAATTACACCATATCTTTTCATTTTTATATAATTTTGTCAATCTTTTAGAACAATTAAAAAAATGAAAATTCATTATTAGAAATGAAGGTATGCCAGCTCTATAATAACTTATAATCCCATTACAGTTAAATGTTAACGGTTTTTAGTTGTAATTTATTTTTGTTAAGGAATGACTGTTATATTTTTTCTGTCTATGAAGAAATAACATCAAAAATGTTGTCACACTGAATAACCCGCGTAGCATGTTATTTTAAAGTGTGCACCACATTTTTTATGTTATTTCGAATAGACAGAAAAAATATAACAGTTGCTCTTCAAATCACAGGAAACTGTACGTCCGATATAAAATTTGTTTCATACATTAGTTTTGTAATTGGTTCCATACATTTAGGTTTCAGCCCAGTTCCATACATTTAAGTTTCGGCCCAGTTCCATATTTTTAGGTTTCAACCCAGTACAGTTTACGCTTTACTACCAAATATAAAACAATTATTACATAAAATGAATTTCAACACCTTTCAACCTAACCCAAACCTGGTAAATTAAAACTGCTTAAAGCCATTTTAGTCTGATACTTATTAAAACCAAATGTTTGGAGCTATAGGCTGAAACCTAAATGTATGTTACTGGGTTAAAACCTAAAAATATGGAACTGGGCCGAAACTTAAATGTATGGAACTGGGCTGAAACCTAAATGTATGGAACCAATTACAAAACTAATGTATGAAACAAATTTTATATCGGACGTACATATCTGAGAGTACTGACAGTTAAATACTATTTTAAGCTGGAGTAAATCATGAAAAAACGTTGATGACGTCACGGTAACATGACAAAATTACGTCTATGAGCTGATAGACAAAACACTGTCAGCCAATCAGAAGACACTTTACATCCAAAATTAAATTATTAACAAATGGTGTTTCCATGTTTTTGAACAACGAAATCAAAATTTTATATTGTTACATTTTGTTTTATTTAGACTAAAGAAGGACAAAAAGGACAACGTGAAACTGTCATCCACGTAGCTGCTTCTAGGGGTAGCTCGTATTTAAAAACAGTAGAAGCACTGCTTGCAGATGAAACAATTTCCTTAAACAGCTTTAACACTGAAGGTATTGCTCAAAAAAGGTCCTTGGAATCACAAAATTGGGAATGATGGGCCAATATTACAGAAAAATGGACCCCAAAAAAATCGAGAAAAGTAGGCAAAAAAAAATAAAGAATAGAGGATTGTGGTAAAAAAATATAAAGAAAAGAGAAAAAAATAGCTAAAAGAAATTTAAAAAAACACTGCATAACTGAAGGACACACTTTTCTAGACCCTCGTAAATATTGAAGTTCATGCAAGGAATACCACAACACATTGAGTTATATGGAAACTACCATTATATGACAATTGATAATACCATTGATATATATAACTAATAAAATTTATGACCAATGTATTTAATGCTAAGGGTTTACCTCAACTTTGCCCTTGGAAATATATATCCAATGACTTAATATTTAAAACACGATCAGTACTACGTGATATGTTTGAAATAAAATTGAGAATAGAAATGGAGAATGTGTCAAAGAGACAACAACCCGACTAAAGAGCAGAAAAAAGCCGAAAGCCACCATGGGTCTTCAATACAGGGAGAAAATCCCGCACCCGGAGTCGTGTTTCAGCTGGCCCCAAAACAAAAATGTGTACTAGTTCAGTGATAATGGACGTCATACTAAACTCCAAAATATATCAATGAACTAAAATTTAAAATCATACAAGACAAACAAAGGTCAGAGGCTCCTGACTTGGGACAGGCGCAAAGATTCGGCTGGGTTAAACATGTTTTTTTGAGATATCAACTCTCCCCCCATACCTCTAGCCAATGTAGAAAAACAAACACACAGCAATACGCACAGTAAAACCCAGTTTAAAAGAAGTCCGAGTCCGATGTTGGAATAGGTAACAAAAGAAACTAAACAAAATGACAATGATACATAAATTAACAAAGGACTTCAAAAAAAGACCTCAATTAAACAGATTGAAAGATTATGTCTTCATCATATGAATATCAAGCACAATCCCTCCCGTTAGGTGTTTAGTATCATACCATCATAAAATATATGGGAAGAACATAACCCATATCATGCCAACAACTAGGTTTAGAATAAATGTGTTTATTTCCGATGCAAAGACCCTATAAGTGAATCAAAATTAAAACCAAAATATGACATCTATAATGACCTGACAACATTATCGTAATTAAATCCCTTCTTAATAAGTCTGTTTAAAGGTTTTGTTAGCTCTAGGTGAATGTCGACATTTTTGTGCAACATTTTTAAAAACATACTCAGGTAATTATGTATAACATTGTTATACCACATTCACGCCTTCGTGGTCAATGGAAAGTTAGTATTTGTTTCCTTTCGTTATCCCATAGTTCAGTGCTTTCCATGCACAACTCAATGCTATACATTCATGATTTTAATTGTATATTAATTGTTATAGTAAGATTTCAATAATTGCAGTAATGACATGTACAGTCTACAGTGCTATTTCATTCCATCTATTGAAATGACTATCAGAGATAATTAACATCTCATTTTGTAACACTTTAAAGTGAAATTAGTTTTAATAGATTACAACGAGAAATGATAAACCTGTAACGTTACTCAAAGGTGTGAATATGTTCTAAATTGTTCAGACAGTCCTTACCCATATTTTATGAAGATTTTAACCCTCAACTTTGCCTAGAGCTTTAAATGTGTATAAATATTATCATATATTAATATGTGTGGAACCTTTATCGATATACTTGGGGCGAGATAACACATTTCCTTACTTTGAAGAGACAAAACACGTTTTTAGTTTGTGTCCTATTCCAAATTGTGACAATTTGAATGAGTGTGCATTCGCATGACGAGTGATGCATGCATAACAGTTAATGCATTTCCTTAGTGATTATATGTTGTCTCATATTTTTTGATTTGCGAAATGTGAACATTGGTTAACATATGAATTCTGATGAAAAAAAACAAAGGAGATGTATTATAATTGACAATTACTTAGACAAATATCAACCAGATTTCAAATAATGTAATCATTTATAGGCCAAGGTATGGCCTTCAACAAGTCAAACATGTATACCCGTATATTCAGTTTTGAAAAGACCCCATCATTACAAAAATGTTAAACAATCGATACGAGACAAATAAAAACTCTGAGAAAAACATGACCTTGTGCAATGCTAAAATATATGTAAACAGTATCGACAGAATAAAGTATCATATTATTTAATAATGCTTTATTTTTTTCACAAAAAATCAGTGTTAGTTTATCCATTAAAGCAATGATTAAAGAATTTACTACGGTGTTAAATAGGTAACTCCTACGAAAAAGTTTAGGTGAGAAAGGATGGAGAGGTAAAATGTCAAGTTAAAAATCAACTGGACCTTGTACAATATGACAAGCTAAAATGGAGTCATGCATGGTTCATATGGCGAATGCAAGATTGTCTTCGCATAAAATTCCCATTGCATATGTTGTTCATACCGTAAAAAATACTCATAAACAAGGGGTCAATGAAATATTACATGGAATATTGCCAAATGCCTTTTACATTTAATCCGCCTATTACCAAATACTGTTGACCTGTCATGAAGTCTCTCATAGACTATTTGCTTTTATTACCTTCGAAAAACAAATCAAATATGAAATTCTGAATTCTCATTCGTTGTTTTAATATGGTCATTCCACCATGACAATAAGGTTATGCAAACGGACCGATTCCAGTCGGAAATCAAAACCATAAGTCATCTGTTATCAAATATCAATTATTCAGTTCTCTTCCTTCTCAAATACAAAAACTTTATAGAAAGCAATCTTCTTCGTGCCTGAATTATATTAAAGCTTTGAAGCTTCTCCTTGTACTTAATTTGAGGCGAGACAAAGAGGACTAATGTTAGACGAATATATATTTTCTTATTTAATCCTTATATGCTAAGTAACTATACCTATCGTGTATTGTAAATTAATCATACGCATTATGTTTGGTCAGACAAAAATTTGGTCCCAGAAGTCTAAATTTCAACATGTTTTGCATGTGATGTATGCATATTAGTTGATAGGCCTAATCCTTTAAACAAGAACATCAAAATGTGATAATTTACTTCTAGGATGCACAGCCTTACACCTTGCAGTAATGGCACATGGACGTAAAATGTCAAAGGAAGAAAACATTGATAGCGAATGTATAATTGAGAAACTAATCGATGCTGGACTTGACCCAAACCTACAGGTAAATATATACTATTCATTTGCGTAACATGTTTAAACAAGTGTTATAGGTTTGTTTTCCAGTTTTCAGTGACTGTTATTAAAAACAACAATTGCTTCAGAAATTTCTGATTTGTGAATGATGTATTGAATGAACGGGACAACAAAGCATTAACTCACAAGACAAAAATTCAAGCTAATAAAAACACAATGGTTTCGTCCCACACTTGCTCTTCTAACATTGATTACTTCTATGCTATATAGTTTGATTGAATTATTTTTTCATGTGCTGTCTTCGCATAATATTCCCATAGCATATGTTGTTCATACCGTAAACAAATACTCATAAACAAGGGGTCAATGAAATATTACATGGAATATTGCCAAATGCCTTTTACATTTAATCCGCCTATTAACTGTACTTTACATTTTTAATATCAATTTTTAGAAAGATTCATTTTTTACTGTCAAATGAGAGTACGTTAACTAAAATAAGACGATATGATGTGCCGTTTGAAATTATAAAAAATGAACAATCAACACCATAACTTGGCTAGATATACAAAACAGAGTTAAACGCCACGAAAACCTCACGTTTGAACAACACAAATTATTTCACACATCTGAGATAGGTTCAATCCTACAAATAGTCACTGTTCCACTGGTAAATAGGAATATAACTAATGTCAACTAAGACACAAATGTTCCCCATATTCAACTACACATGCGTGACAACATACACAAGTTCGCAATGAAAAAATGGTGTCATCCTTCTTCAAACTACCCCAACCAAAGCTGTTGTCGTTTTTGATATGGAAATCAAAATTTGAAACACACTTGCCTGAATCTGTGATATCCTTATTTGAAGTTAAACTGGTTCGACATTTTACTCATTACACATTTATAACCTATATTATAAACGTTTTTTTTTTTCTTTTTTTGTTCAATTGGTCTATTCTATTTTGATCATTTAAACATGTGTACGGAATTGAAATCACTTCCCCTCCAATATGACGCAGCTTGTCTCAGAATAGATAACCTCATAATAACAAGAGCTCCTCTTTGGCGATTCGGTTTCAACACCTGCTTTTTATAAAGCTAAATTTAATCTAAGTTGATTGATTATTTGTATTGAAAACAGTTAGTACATTGATAAGTTTTGTTGTAAATATTAAATGTTAACATACTGTTACAATTTGAATCAAGGAGGAAAAGCAAGGATTTCCTTCGCTGTAATGGATGCCATAATTGCGTTAGTGTCCTTAAAAACAAGTGTTATTGCTTGATCTGGTATATGGTCCACAACACCTCTTTCAAACTCAATAATATATATTGATTATCAAGAAGCAAAGCCGTGTTTGAGAGTTTTGTGAAACTATCTACTTTATGAGTGATGTGAATAAGATGTAAATACTAAAACATTCCACAGATATGTTTAATTGTGTTCAATCTAAGTCTCTTTCCTCTGACAATAATATAAAAAAAACATTGGCACTCCTCATTCCAAACTAAAAGACATATTGAAACGTTGTTTCATAAAAACGAACGAACAACATGGTACACATATCTTGTATCAGGAAGGATTAAATGATAATTATTTTTTTGCTTTGTTTTTGTTTTCGATTTTTTTTTTTTTTTTTTTTTTTTTGTTGACTTCAAGCTTCCTTTTCTTTAGTTTTCTTTGTAGTGATTTGCAGACTGTTGTTTGTCTTTTCTACGTTTTTCTTTTTTGCCATGGTTTGTCGGTATTTTTTCAACTTATGACTTTTGATTGTCCATTTGCTGTCATTCTCATCCTTTTTAGCTTTTTAACATTTCAAAAAAGTCTTAAAGCATTGGGTGAATTTCTTAAATTTCTTAAACCTTATTGGTGCCACAAAGCCAAGGGTCAACCAGAACAGAAATAGACTTATTCAATTGGTTAGAAAAATCCTAAGTTATTTTGAAACGTCATACCCCCCCCCCAAAAAAACCCGGATGAGTTCAAAGGCATATTTTGTTTTAGTATGGACAATAGATGGTAAGTGTTACTAATGCCAATAATTTACTTTATATCAATTCAGCTACTAAAACAGCTACACTAAAACTTCCACTTTTTCCTTTTACATAAAGCAAATGTCAAAATGATTTTTTTTTATTACAGGAAACCAAAACTGGAAGAACACCTTTAATGTGTGCAATAGAAAAATTAGATATAACCTTAGTTGAGACATTTGTAAAACTAATTGACCACACAAAAATGCGACAGTTGCTAAAATCAGAAACATTTGATGGCAAAAATGTCCATTCAATTATTGAAGAATTGAAAGATTCATTTACAAAGAATGATTACAAAAAACTTACTGATTTACTCAGGATCATAAATGAGGACCCACAATAGTTTCTTCAGGATATGATTCCATATTTTCAATGTCACAATGTAATCTATGGTAAGCAGTATGGAAAAAGACAATCACTGTTTTTTTGTTTGTTTTATTTTTTTTTTCATTTTAATTTTGAAATCAATAATATTCGAGTGAAACTGCATCTGAAAAATTCATCCCTGCCATTTTTTCAAAATTTCCTTGGAGGTATTAAATGTATCTATTTTATATGGGTGTTACAATGGCCTTGAATGAGTATAAAATAAGTCATTAAATATAATTTTGAATGCCTGCATCGAATCATTCAGTTCATATAACAAAAAATTTCAAAAGTGAGATCAGCAATTCTCATGGAAAATCCTTAGTAAATTGTGAACGTTGGCAGGATTTTCAGAAAATATTGAAATTGGACCATCTGTATACCGTCATCTTGGATTGTAAAATTGTAGTTCTCAATAGGTCTTGTTCTTTGCTTAAATCTGCAAATTTTAAGAAAGATTGGCAATTCATTGGTTAGATTGATTCTTTGAATAAAGGGAAATAAGTGATTCATTGCATTAATCAGACTGATTTATCAAATATCAAATGTTTATGTTTGTTCGAACCAAATTGTCATCTTAGCCATTTAAGGGGAGATAACCTAAAGAGTAAAATTCTTACTAAAGAAATGATATAGAAATTTTCCATTTTTACCTGTAGCAAGAAAACAAGGTCGGTGACACCCTTCTTTCTTTTTCGGTCTTAAAGCATATTTTAAAACCTATATTCTCATATTTTATTTCAAAATATATCTCGGTCATAGATTTCTTTTTATTCGCAAATAAGTGTATTTTCATGATCAATCAATGCAAATTTGGGCACTTTTGCACAACTTGTAGCTTGAAAAATAGGACGGTGACCCATACTTTATATCATATTTTAAAAAAAAGCATGGAAAAAATCTACGTTCTGCCAGAGTATGAGAAAAATTCTGTCTGAGGAAATGTATACCTACATATATGATCCACCTCAATTACTGATTTTAACTTTCATATCTTTATGTTTACAGTTGATTAGAGTTTAATAAATGTATATCTTATTTATCAAATGCGTGGGTACATATGTGGAAGAGTTAAAAAAATCAATTCTAATCTTAGTTTTTTTACTGTTTATTTATACCATCAGTTCGCTATTAAACAAATTGTTACCGTACAAATAAGATGAGAATACAACCAAAAAAACGATAATTTTTAGCAAAATAAAAGAAGAATGTGTCCCTTTGTCCGCACTTGTAAGTATGCTAGAGTCAATGTACTAATTCAAAAATATAACATTTGTTTTCTGTGAAACTTACTGATATTAATTTTGTTTCTGTATGGTGAGTGGGCAAAACAGAAAATGTGGCAAATTTTAATTTTTAAAGAACAGTAAAAAAAGACGCCACCCAAACTCGATTTGTTCTGTGTTTGATGGTAATAAGCACTGTTTATAAGTTTCATAACATTTGGCAAACAAAAGTTGGAGAACAGAAACTTATTTTGGAACGTACGTACGTACAGACGGACAGGGGTTCCATGTGTGGAACAACATTTGCTTTTCCTTCCGGAGCACCTGATATCATCCCCGGTTTTCGGTTGGGTTCTATTTGCTCAGTTTTTAGTTTTCTACGTTGTGTTTTGTATACTGTTGTTTGTCTTTTGGTCTTTTTTCTTTTCTTTTACCATGGCGTTGTCAGTTTATTTTCCTTTTATGTGTTTGAATGTCCCTTTGATATCTTTCGCCTCTCTTTTGAAAAGATCATTTTCTAATTTAAATTTGATATCTAGCTTAAAATATTATAGTAGCTTGCAGTTTTTAGCAAATTTGATATCATACACATGTTTGTATTATAGCTTCAATGCCTTATAATCATTTATATTGTGAGCATTGAATGTATTGTACTGAATTTTGTTTTAGCCTGTATCTTTATTTTTGTTATGCTTTATTCAATTTGTACTTTGTAGTATTAGTATTGATAATCTTAGGCATATTAAAGCTATTTTTTTTTTAAATGTAGACTTTTAAATATTGAAGAATGGAGGTATAGGAACATTCAAAGAAAACAAAAAAAAATATGAAAAAATTTAGAGTTGTAGATAAAGACCATTAATATTTTTTTCTTATGTGATTTTAGTTTAACACTTAATCAAGACTTTATTATGCTTCTCTTAGCAATGATAATGTGTAATCATTTCAGAATCTTATTTCAACAAATAAATGAGCAGTTTAAATATTACAACATAACTTTGTTGGGGGTTTACTGGTGAATATAGTGGTCTATTTCCTAGTTGAAATTGGACTTGAAACTTCGTTACTATAACTGCTTGTCTTGGTCTTTTGTCATTTTGTTAGTTGTTGGCATCAATGAATAATGAAAATAATACAAACTGTATGCGCTTTTTTGGATTTACCTTTATCATGAACATAAAGCCGAATATTTGAAGCCAATAATGTATAAGAATCGAAACAAGCGAAGAGTTATATGACCAAAAGGACCTGATGAGCAGCCGTTTTCAACTGTTACAACACTGTAAGGTAAAGGGAGGGTTGGGCATGTTCACAATCACAAATGTTTAACCATACATGTATATAATTCTTGTTATGTTTGCCTCAAGCAAGCTTGTAGTCCAGTGGTTATCTCAGATTATTGTTTTTCGTTTAATGGTAATACATATAAAAAAGATGTGGTATTATTGCCAATGAGACAACTCTTCACAAGAAACCAAATGACACAGAAATTAACATCTATAGGTCACCGTACGGCCTTCAACAATGAGCAAAGCCCATACTGCATAGTCAGCTATAAAAGGCCCCGAAATCACAAATGTAAAACAATTCAAACGAGAAAACAAACGGCCTAATTTATGTACAAAAAAATGAACGAAAAACAAATATGTAACAGATCAACAAACGACAACCACTGAATTACAGCCTCCTGACTTGGGACAGGCACATACATACAGAATGTGGCGGGGTTAAACATGTTAGCGGGATCCCAACCCTCCCCCTAACCTGGGACAGTGGTGTAACGGTACAACATAAGAACGAACTATAAAAATCAATTGAAAAAGACTTAACTCATCAGATGAATACAAATAGAAATACATCTAACAAAAACACAGATTGGACGTGGCCGGGTTCTTGTACATCCCAACAACAAAAAGACACTAAGTACAGATCTGAGAGTACTCGCAGTTACTGACAACTAGTTCAAAACCAATAACAACTAATAAAAACATCATGCATCTGAGACTAAATTATCAATCATTAGCTTTGTTCAGGTTGTTGGTTTTCTTTTTTGGATCATTTCTTATTAGCTCACCTGGCCCAAAGTTCCAGTGTGAGCTTTTGTCATCCCTTGGCATCTGTCATCGTCAGTTCACTTTTACAAAGATCATCTCCTCTGAAACTACTGGGCCAAATTTAATCAAAATTGCCCACAATCATCAATGGGGTATCTAGTTTTAAAACAAGTGTCCGATGACCCGCCTGACGAAATGGCTAAAAGTTAAACAAAGGAGTGAATCTGACGGGTCAAGAATGTTCCGAACAATGAGATGTACAAATTGTACATTCTGTCTGTTGATATCTTAACTGTTAGACGACTTCTTGTAGGAGTAAGCTGTTAAACAATAGATTTTGCCAATTATCTCGAAAATTTTTATAGAAAGACAGAAATGTGAGAAGTACAAGATATACAAGAGTTCCAAGTGGTGAAGTTGAAATCGTCCCTTCGCATATTTTACGAACGCAATCACGAGTTGGTTGACCGTTTTGGAATATCCGTTTCACAGATTACAGCGGACATGTTCCAATTTACGTAACTATTATCCCGTCCCCTTTTCCCCTAATGTGACCTACCGAATTAGAATTATCACCGGGTTTGTACTAACATGAGCAACGCGAAGGGTGCCATGTACATGTACATGTGGAGCAGGATTTACTTCCCCTTCCGGAGCACATGAGATCACAACCCAGTTTTAGTGGGGTTCGTGTTGCTCAGCCTTTGGTTTTCTATTTTGTGTTTTATATACTGCTGTTTGTCTGTTTGTTTGGTTTTTTTTTTTGGTTTTTTTTAGTCATGGTGTTGTAAGTTTATTTTCGACTTATGAGTTGGAATATCCTTTTGGTATCCTTCGCCTCTCTCTTATACAAATTATTCAATATGATCGAAACCGTTAGTCGACTCCTTATTGAAGTAAATTCCCTTATTAATAAGTCGTCATGGTCGAAATCTTCAGTCATCTCTTATTTAGATTTATTGCCCTTTAATGATAATTTTTATAATGTTTTGACATTTTTTTGTCTATCATTGTTTAAAAACTGTAATACATAAATAGAAACTTTACACAGTAAAATTGATCAACAGGATATAATCAAAGTACTGAAGTACTGAACATCGGATGACCGCAGGTTCTTGTGGATGGTCAAAAGCACATGTCACAGAAACAGATCACATCTCTATACCTGAAACTGAGGTTAATTTACAGAGATTTTTTTTCTTATACAAGTTCGTGCTTGGATGATGAATAAATGACAGGAAATTCAACCTCACCGTAATAACTTATATTGTAGTGATACAAATCAGTATACCTTAGACTATTATACTAATATAATAATAGTTCCAGAGAATACACTGGTTTGTTGTTATATATTATATTAATATTACGGTTGCATGTATATATAATTTTCATCTATTTGTATATCATACTATTCTACTATTATTATAGTGTAATGCAAGTGCATGGTGTACACTCTTCTGTAAAAAAAAATCAAAGTCTTAAAGGCTGTAAAAGCAATTGCTGCCATGTTAATGTTTTGTGGACTTTTATTTTTCATCCATATATATAAGAATTAAACCTGACAGGACAGGAGTGTTGACTAGTGAGAAGCAAGACGGTTTTAACTTTATATCAATATAAGACTTTAGCAGGAAATCATTTTAAATATGTTTTATATTTTACAAGGAGACAACAAGTTTACCAGGCTAAAGTTGGGGTTAATTATACATGTGCTGAAACATATAACTGAAAAAAAATCATTATGGATTATCCCCTGGTAGTGTTTGTAACTGGGCAATAATTTCCTTTATTGATTTAATTTTAACCATTTTCATAATTAATTTAAATTAACCATTCAGTTAAAACATTTCAACTTTCCAGACGCAAATGTTGAAAAACGGGACAGAAATAAAATATCTTACAAGACATAAACATGTAAAAAATAAATATATATTTCAGCTTACTAAAAATATTTTCATAATGTTACTTTGACATCATTTCTCAAAACTAAGTCCCAAACATAATTGCTCAGTTGACATGTGTCATCCTCATGCGATACGAGATAACTATAATATTGATGCAATCCCGAAAAGGGGGGTCATCGCAAACAAACATGACATTATACGAACTAGAACAAACAGCTCTATGTTGCTTTGATATTTATCAATTTTCAGGAAACATGTGAAATAAATTTCAGGTCCATTTCATTATAGTGCCTAACAAGATTGTGTGAGGTAGACGAAATTGACCTTAAAACGATCGTATTGTCTTTTGATGTCCAAAAATAGGCAGATCGGACATATAAGGACTTTATCTAATGACTACATAAATTTGGGATTTATTATTATTATAATATTCTAATGAAACTGAAAATTGTATTTTTTTTTAGGATAAACAACAATTTTACCTGGCGTAGCCGTTCATAAATGTTTTTCTGCATTTATCTTCGAAATATGGCGTATTTAATGGAATAGAACGTTAATACAGTAAACTTTCTCTTTTTTCTCCGCAATAGGCTATCAAAAATAATTTATCTAATGTGTATGTGGAAAATAATGTGAAAAGATAAAAAGTGGCAATTGTTACCTTTCATACCTTAAGTTTCGTTCATCTGATTCTGACCAATGCTTATATACTAAATATCTATTTATATGCCGCTATTATTGTTGTTGTTACCAATTATGTAAATCAATTGTATCTGATCTTATGCCCTGTATGGGCCCTGTAATTTGGGAAATAAAAAAAAAATCTATTCATTGATAAAACGTAATATGGACTGGTCCAGTGTCCAGTTTGCAGGTCATTTAATTTTCTGTACACATTCATGCACGCTCTGATTTAATCAATATACTCGTACGAAAAGGCATGAACAGTTTGAAGGTAATCTAATAATAACTTAATCCAATCAAATTGCATAAGATTCAATAACAATGTCAAGTCCACATCATAATGAGTAATAGAGGTAAACTGGGTAGGGAGAAAATGACAGATATTTCAAGTTAATATTTATGCAATAACGAATTAAAATTTGTCAACCAAAAGTTTTGCTACAATTTCAAAAACATGTCTTTCTGTATGGGTATAGTTTTCGGATCTTTCATTAGCGTATTTAAGGCTATAAAAAGTTTGGGCTTCAAAAGTTCACACAATTATTGACTTTATACAGAAAATTCGTCCTTGTAAAACATTTAATAGTTCACAAATGATACGCGATTTTAAAGTAAAATTATTTCTTAAAACACTGCAAAAAATTTCATTCATATTGATAAAGTGGTATCGTCATAAAGTGCGTTGAAATGAACAGTGGTATAGCAAACATCGAATTCCCTCACAAAATGTTATCACACACTACAGTAAGGGGAGTCAGTTAAGTTTGTCTATTTTTAGATACTATACAGGTAATCTTTTGACACTACGTATACAACCTGTGTGACCTGTGTAGTGATTTTGATTTTACGATAAATTCATGAATGAACGATAATTTTATGAATGAACATGAGCACCTGACCTCTTTCTTAAACACCTATTAAACATAAAACCGTATTTAATAAGGAGATAATTCAGTCAAATTATCAGTACTAAATCAACAACTGAAATGATTCCATTTTTTGATGAAAAATCGTACGAACGGAGAACGGAATCGCAGGTATAAAAATGCACTTTTTTCCCTTTTAATGACCGCGGATCTATAATTTTTATAGATCGGTTGAAATCCCAAAACTAATTTGCATAATGGAAATTTAGGCGATAGCAATACATCGGAATGACCTCAAGGTCATCC